CAACTAATCATAATTCAATAAGTAATGATAATTATAAATAATAATAAATAATAATATAAATAAATAACAAGAAGAATAAATAAAAATATAAAGAAAATAATTAAATAAAATATTAATAATCTAAATTAATAATTGTGATACACATGATAATCATCTGAGTAATAATATACTAAATCTAGATGTATTAAATACATAATAATCATTTGTATATCCAGAGTGAAAATAATCTTAAAAATGTAATACAAAGCTAATCTATTATACAGATAGCGCAAAATGAAGATCTAATCTAAAAGAGATTTAAAGAGAGATAACCTAATCAAAATTATTACACTTAAAGTTCTTAATAATATGCTTATAATTATAATTCACAAATTTATATATAAGTTATAAAGATATATAAATATATATAATAAAGAATTGGAGAGTAAAGTTACTGAGTAAGTCATAAGTAAATTTAAATTATATAGATAATTACCAGAAAATATTAAGAAAATAATAAAAATTAAATATAAAAAAATAAATATAAGAAAAGAAAAAAATAAATAAATATTAATCATTTATAATAGTAAAGTGAACATGAGAAGAAAAGATAATAATAGCAATATCTTATTATTATGATGCATCAATTGCATAATAATTGAATTAAACTTATCATTAAAATGTAAATTAGCATATCACGTGTATACATATTTCACGTGATATGCTGATTTACATTGCATGCAGCAATTTGAAACAAAATTTTGAGTTGACTTCCGGCAACAATCAAGGACGCGACGCGTTTTTCTTTATAAAAGATGGTTCTATCTTCCTTTTCATAATTGAATAAATAACTAAATACATTTTCGTAATTTCTTTACACCATGACCTGGCATACATATTTTGATGAAAATAAAGACCAAGATTGGAGCATTTGTAAGTTCTACAAAAATTGGATACGTATATATGAAGAGGACTATGAAAACCTTATCCATGGTAAAGCTGTAGATGCACTCGCAAAAAGCCTCCGTGAGATTATAAATAAGAGCCCGGAACCCACAAAAGTACAGAAAGCTAAAAAACTTTTAAAGGCGAGTATTTGTCTCTATATGGAAATTGTCCTCGGCAATAATCTTTTAGATAATTGCGGTTGTCCACAACAAGGAAGTTCAACTTTTAGTCGTTCTTCTGAGATCTTTTAGATGTATTGTGGTTGCGACATCCCATAACTAGGAGGTGTGACGCTTTTAGCTGGTCCTCTGACAGATCTTTTAGATTGTTATGGTTCTTGGCATTGATTGTAGTAACACGCAGAAAGTATTTTGTTCACTAGTTCAAGCCTATAATATTTTTTTCTCTTTTTTTCATCGTCAGAACTATAGCCAACGCAAAGAAGGGAACATTATCGACAAACTATGGCTAACTGTCGAAAACAAGAAATCAATTCTTCAAGAAAGAAACGTGAACGGAGGAACAAATTGTATACAGCTCGTTTCTTGTAAAAGTATCCATATTAGCAACGTTGGGCATAATAAAAGAAATTATGAGAATGATGAGAATAAAAATTCAGAGACTCCAACGAAAAAGGTCAGTATATAATTTTTATTTTTGAAATTCAACTGAAATTAATAATGGTCATGTAAACTGTATTAGTTATTGGTTGACAATGACAATTCCTCCTCGGAAAATGATAAGCATGGTAAATATCGAGAAGATGAAGAAATAACATCATCAGAGGTCTGATATCTTCCTTATTTTATGCATATCTCCTTAATTGATAAGGTTCTTCACTGAACAAATTCTTTTCTTATTATAGATTCCGATCGTTAAAACACTTATGAAGATTGGCGGAATAGCACGATATAGGATTGTATTCTTCCGGAAGAAAATAATTGTAGCCCTATTAAATCAGTTTTTAAGGAAGAGGAATGGCTAAAACTCGAATGGGAATGGCAAAAGGTTTGTGGTCTTTTATATGTTTATTAAAATAATTTCAACAGCGAACCTATGCTAATCTTTTTAGGTTGAGGAGATGGTTGCACCTGAAAATGGTGAATTGGATGAATATCAAGAGAATTTATTAAAAAAAATATGATGATGCAATCAAAAAAGCAACAATTGGATACAGCGTCAGTTTAGGCGAAATTGTCGGCGTCTTCAACGAATGTACGCTCATCAATCGGAATTATTATATTTTTAATAAGGAGTGGCCATTACAATGGACGCAATCCATTTATAATGCATTGTAGGTAATGCATCCTTTTCTGATACTTGAGTTGATGATATTGACTTTTGTTTTGTTCTGTAGTTCAGCCTCGCAATTAATCCACTCCATGATGCCGACTTATCGGAATACGCATATAAAAAAAATACCATCTATTTCCAAGCATAAAGTATAAAGAATAGTGATAAGTTAGCTTTGAATAAATAATATTCAGAAATTTGCAGAAATTATATAAATAATAGATTTTTCTAAGTCTATAGTATATGATATAATTAATCAGATTAAAAAATTATTAAGTATTATGTCACTTTCCAGATCTGAAAAATCTTTAATTCTTATAATTGAATAATATTATATTTTTAACTAATTAATATAAATTAATAATATTATTACTATTGTTATCTTTTTGATGCGAGTTCTGTTCTGAGGGTGAGTATTAAATTTAATATTACAAAAGTATATGATAAAAGTGATCATGTACTTAAAGTAATAGTTAGGAGAATCTTTAAAGATTTATTAACAAGAATATAAATACTATTATTTATCTAAAGATAGATAATGATAGTATTCTTGTTATGACTAGCTAGAATATAGTTCAATTCCAAAATATAATTTCAAGACAAATGTAATATTCAGTTTATTAACAAGATGAAATAATATATCTTAATCAAGATCTATTTTATAAGAGAGATTTCTTAGAATTCTCTTAAAACTAAAATCTACTTAAATACAAATTGAAAACTAAACTCATAGAACTTAACTAAACTAAATAACTAAATATTTTACTATTAACTATTTGTCTAAATTCACTAGCTAAGATATATCACTTTTATATATTTTAGAGATTATACAAATAATACTTTTGTTATGATACTTATGTCAGTTTTGCTATAATTTAAATGCTACTTTTGCTAGTATCATAATGTTGATTTTGTTATGATAGCATTGTTAGTTTTGCTATGATAGTTTTGCTAACTTTGCTATAATAATTTTGCCATAATCATCATATTTGCAAAATCTTCTAAAAATATTTACAAATAATATTCTCTAAAACTAATGTCCAATAAGATATAAAGAATTATTCATCCAATCATATTATGATATGAAGTGATCAATAATATAATTAACTAATATTCTACTAAAAGTTCATATCATAATAATACTATACGTGATTTATTAAATATAGTCACTTATGTTATTATTATAAATATTTTTGCAAATAACTTAACTTTAGCTTTCTTAAAATTCTATTGAGATAAGAATGTTTAGATTATTGACAACAAATATTAATCATGTAAAGAAGAGATTATTAAATTTCTTTACAATTTGGATAAAGATTCAGAAAATATATATAGAGATTTTAAGATATTTTAAGAAGGTAAGTATGTTGTATTTATTATAACTAGCTATAAAAAAGCCTGAGTCTTGGCTAATCAAATAACTAAGTTGCAAAAGTCCAATAGTTTATTTATTTTATTCCAGATTTATTTTGATCAAATAGATAGAAAATAACATCAAGATGATTTTACTAATATTAATATCACTTGAAATACTCTTAACTATATAATTTATATAATTATCATGAAAGCTGGTATCTTCTTTGAAATATTTGATTATTTTGATATAGTTATAGAAATTATTAATATTACCACTTTTATCTATATTAAAGTATTTGCTCAGATATTATTCAGAATTTGTGATTATTATATATGATTTCTTTTTATCATAGCAAAAAATTTGATATTTTTAAGAACCATGTTGAAAACTCATTTGGGCTGAACTTTTAGTATTAAGATCTGAAGATTTACCAATAATAATAATAAAAGGTTAGCATGTATAGGATAAAATTACTAATTATTATATACTTAATTTATCTTCAGCAGTGGAAACTTATATTAAAGTTGAATATTAGAGATACTTATCAGCCAAATATTTTTCTGAGATTTTTTGTAATCTTATTGCTAGTACTGGAATAATACTTGAAATTAATTTTAGTGAAAGATACTGAAAAAGTTAATAAGAATAAAATTTCTCATATTATTAAAAATACTAAGAAAAAAATTAAAGATGCAGATACAGAATCAATAACTAATGCTCTAGATATTAGTTCTAATGAAGCTGAAATTCTTAAGCAAAATTCTATATGTTCTTTTGCTAATAACATAACTTTACAATATTACTATTTATGAAGAAGATATGTTTTAGGTAATATTAATGATAAGAATGATATTCAAAACTAAAGTATAAATAATAATGATTAGATTAAGCTTTGTGATATAGATTTTGTGGAAAGATATAATAATCCTGAACTTTTATAATATTTTAAGAGATTGATATATTTCAGAAGAAAAGATTCTAATATAATAAATTTTATAAAAAATCTAAAAATCAAAGAAAAAATATAATAGAAAGATTCACATGAATCTATAGATCCATTCTTAATTGATTTGTATAAATTTTATTTAGCTAAATAGTGAGAAGTGATATATAATCTTGTCTAATTAATAAACTTTAGTGATATAGATGATATAAATATTCTTTCTGATAATAATGTAGTAAAAATATTCAAATAATCACAGGAAAAAATTATTAAAATTCAAGAAGATATATTATTACTTTTGATTTTAAAATTAAAGCTAAAGGAATGCCGGATCTTAATACTACAATAAAATTTATTAATGTAATAGTTAATAATTGATATAATTATACTATCAGGAGTGGGCAAAAGCTTTCAGAGTCAAAAAATCAATGAGTATGGAAGCATACTTATTAGATTCATCATAAATCATATAATAGAGCTAGTTTTGATAATCAAGAAAAACTAATAGATATAAAGTTATATAATCCTGAATATTTTCCTATAGCTCTAATTTTTCTACCATATAAATCTAAATCAGTCAATGAAACTCAAGAACTTTTCAATTCTATATTTATTACTACTAATATCATTATTTTAGAAGTTAATAATAAGATTTATGAATAAAGTTCTTATAATAATATAGTTGAGAAATCTGAGACAAATTTATTGCAATTGTTCTCTTTGATATTAACTCAAAATCTATCAAATATTTCTAAATAAATTTCAAATATTATTGAAGCTAAGAAAGAGATATCTGAATTCTTAATTTTTTTATCTTCAGAATTTCTCATTAAAAATAAATCTGATATAAATGTTCTTATTCTTCTTTTATAGTAAAAATTTTAAATATCTCAAGAAAAACTAGAATAGTAGAGAATCAAAATTATCTTTAAAATGCGAGATAATAATAATTATTGAAAAAAAGAGTGCAAGAGTATGGATGAGATTATTTTCCTAAAATATAAATGAAATTTTAAAACTAAAATAAAAGTTTCTACTATTTTATATAAAAAAAACTGAAAAATAAATTTCTAGCAATCATTGAATATGCATAATTATTATAAATCTTTTAATAAAGCAAGCATAAGATACTAAGATAATATTATCTAGTTTTATTAGTAATTTCTGAAGCAGAGAGATTGTTATATTTAACTAGTTATTTATCTCAGATAGGGAGTTTTATTATCTTTTATAATAAGTATGCAGAAAAATTCAAATCAAAAATTAATATTTAATATTTCATCTTTTCACAATATCTGCTCAGATATATAAGTACTATTATGCTATAATAAGGCAGAAAAAATAAGATAATATATATAATAAATAAATTAGCTATATATATCTAAATATAAACTTGTGAGTGAACAGATTTTTTATGTCATATAATTTAGATTAAAACAAATTTTAGGTAAGTACTTCTGATATATAAGGTATATATTTGATAACTATTTTTATATTATCTAATTTAGATATTATAACTAATTACTTATTTGTGTGATATAGTAGATATGGTATAGTATATGGTACAGCTATAGCATATGATGCAATAATTATTAATTACTACTAAATTAGATAAATAAATAATTTTTATTAATTAATCTTATTTATAATTAATTCTATTTTTAATTCATATTATTACCTATATTTAGCTATATATGTCATATCTAATTTATAGTTTTATTAAATTCATAATTTTCTAATTAATTATTATTAATTTTCTTTTATTTCTTACTTTAGCTTTGAATAACTTAATATTTCACTAATT